GAAAAAAAGACGATGCTCCTCGACTCGAACAGACACGTTTGCTGCCCTCCATGCTCAGCACGCAGGCTGGATTCGTGCCCCAGTTCTCCACCACAGATCTTCCCAAGCGGATGGCTGTGTAACTGCGCAAGCAAATTCCGGACAGCTGTTTCAACATCCTCAATATTTGTCAATCTGTCAGGTATTCCCCTTGTCGTGTCAGGTCTGGGCTTCGAGATGGCCAGATCACATCGAATCCTCTCCCAATCCACCGTCCGCTGCATTTCCCGTATTCCAATAATTGCCAAATTGCAAGGGCAGAATGCGCCAGAGGCCCCACCTTTGCCGTAGGGTGCATGCTGCAGAGGGACTTTGTGACCACACAGTAGACCTCCTGCCTTCAGACAAAACGCAATACACGTCGAGATCTGTGTTCAAACGAGAGGTGATTGGAAAGCGGTGGCCTTTGTGAGAGCCTGCCCCATAATCACCTCCGGGGAGGAATGTATAACCTGCATCTTCAATTCTCACCGCGGTAACAATTCATATTGCTTTTGCAACGAGCTCCAAAAAAAACACCAACAACGGCAAAGACGACAGTTACAACAACAACAACACACAAAGTATAGCAAGATAACAGCCTGGCTAGTGTACAAAAAAACAGCTCTTCCAAGATACATTTTTGTACGTTAAATTTAGCGTTCTTCATTCGCTGACTTTTTATTTAATTTACACACCTTTAATTTATATCCATCTGTTGTCTAATCATTCATTCGTGTTTTGTCGTCATATATGTTTTTTAAATTATATTTCTTTCTTTTTAAGTATAAAAATACCCTTTTTCAGGCATCCCTGACTGGCGAAGCTTCTAGTCTCTTGAATCTCCGTCGCTGTTGTTCAGGGAGAGGAGGGGGGGGTAGCGCCACAAACGAAGCTGGAGGCAGTCTAAACATCGTGGGGCGGGCGAGGGGTGACCCGGGCGAGGAGGCCCTTTCGTGAATCTCAAACAACAAGACGCCACTTGACACAATTCTGCCGTGCCACAAACCACGTGCTCCAATGCGTACTTTTGTATGGCCGCAAAAGTAACGGCGAAAAGTTGAAGGTGAAATATTTTTTGTTGTTTTCGTCGACTTTTTTTTTCTCCAACTTACTCTTCCTTTAATCTATGTGGAATATACATCGGAGACGTTTACACACAAAAAACGTTTAAAATCTCCAGCGTTTTAGACAAAATCTCGACGAAGCACAAAGCGCATAAATTCTAGTCTTGCATTTGTTTTGCTTTTTTCTTTCCAGCATTTTGGCTTGGACACAACGCAAATAGGTCAATGACACACGGTGCACGATCCAAATAATCTCCTAAGAACATGCTCCGTTCCTTCTCGGAGAAAAAAAAAGTTTGACGCTGTGGAACTGGGGGTTTTCACGGTTGAGTGCACGCACCGCGATATATATTAAAAAAACTGTTCCCGAAATGAGGAATCACGGAACGCACAACAAAGAAACCCGACCACCGGGGCGCGGAGACATTAAAGGATGACCAACCCCTCACTTTCGGTGGATCGGCCAAAACTGAACCAGCTTTCGGGAGTGGCTTCACTCCCACACATGAGGCCCCCGTGCCTTTAAAACCACGTGCAAACTGATGGTGCGCTACAGAGAAAAGAGAAATATATAATTTTTGTAACAAACAAAAATACCCAACGCGGTTATAAGATGTAACGAGCCAAAGAGACGATGCAGTGACGTGCAAAACGGTCACACACACACACACAACAACAAAAAAAACATTAGTTAATGGCATCTTGGCAAACGAATAATAAAAACCCAAGTCGTGTGATGTAAAACGCACTTTTAAACAGTTCAAATGTAGCAGCTTGTCTTAGACAAAACTTGATCCCAGACAACCTCAGAACAAGTGTGAAAACACCTTGAGCACGTAAACAAAACTACGAGAACATGTACTACCGACCTGTCTTAAAAACTTTATTTCTCAAGTGCCAAATAAGTTAGGAAATAAATTATCATCTGAGCCATATGACTTCATAAAAAACCCGTATAAAAATAGAAATACTGTCAATAAAATATACAGAGCAATGGCCTCTACCAGACAGATTCAATTGGTAGCATAATTTCGTGTTATATTTTGATAAAATTATTTTTTTTAAATTATCATTATTTTAAATAACATTCTCCTAAAAACCTTCAAGTTGTGTGTACGCATCACCTTTAAGTACAATACGCTCTCTCTCTCGCTCTATCTCTCTCTCCGTCCCTCCTCTCTCGCCTGCATTTTATAAGTTATTGACGAGTTTACGTAAAAATGCTCAAGCCCCACCCCGTCGCGATATAACAGTAACTTTAAGCCTCTGTCACCTGACGATTCAACTCTCTCTTCTGGGAGCATCGTTTGGCAAAAAGGCAAAATAAAGTTGCCGAGTGAAGCACGTGTAAACATTGGGACTTGAAGCGTGCAACAAAACGGTTGCTGAGCAGGGAAACTAAAGCCTTCAAACTCACACACAACCTCGTCGAATTTGTTGGTCTCCCTGTTTCTGTTTGTTGTTCTTTGTTTGAACCCTCTATTATATTTTTTTTACATCTGGTGAGAAGTGCGCGTTTCACGTCGGTGGTGGTGGTGGTGGAATTTTATATTTTTTGTTGATTTCTTCATCTTGGTCTTGGTTTTGTTGTTTGTTTCTTTGTAAGCAGATGACAGATTGTCTTCACATGTCTGCTTGTGTCCAATACCACTTAAAACCCTGCTTCTTACGCTTTATATATATTTATAACGTGTGCGCTCGCGCGCTCGCGTGCGTCTGTGTGTGTACAAAACGAACCAAATAAATCGGTTGACAAGTGGGGACGCCGCCGCCGCGGCCGCCGCCGCCGAAGGGAAGAGTGCTGTGAATGTGCTAGCGCAGCTGCCGCGGGTCGCGTGGTGGATGAGCGGCGGGGCGGGCGACAGCGGCTGAACAACGACGATGAAATTTTGCGCGGCGGTCAGCGGCACAGAGCATCGGCAGGGAGCGGCACGGAAAACGCACGCACGCACGCACGCGGGCCAAGCGCTGCGGGGTTGCTGAACGATAACGGCACGTTCTCTCAAGAGAGAACGATAGCGTGTGTGTGTGAGAGAGAGAGAGACATTCCATAATCGCCTGCCGTCCGAGGAAGTATGGAAGCATTCGGTCTCTTCCTTCCCCCCCCCTTCCCCACGGAAGCCCAGCGCAACTGCATCTCTGCGGCGCGGTGGCACAGTTTTGCACCGCCCGGGCCAAGCACGGTGGATTTCACATTCGCGTCTCACGTCACAATGTTGTTTCCGTCGGGCACAATCCTCTCGTGTGCCCCCCCCCCCCACCCTCCCCATCCTTCCCCCTGTTGTGCACGTGCACCGGTACGTGAATGTAAACGTAACGTCAAAACTGCGTGTGTTTCTTTTTATGGTACGAATGCAAAAATGTGTAAACAGCGAGAGGCCTTTGTACCACTGCGAACTTCATAACGGCGGTGATCGATCGGTCGTGGTTTAGTTTCTAGTCGGGAAACGTCCCCCAGGTGTCGAGGAGCCTCGAGTGATCGTGAGTGGATGTCCACCGATGGCCCTGCAATAGACCTCGAGCGCGGCGGTGCCACCGTCTGACCCTTTGGGGGGGAACGTCTGTGATTACGTACGTTTAAATTTGCCTCCTAGGGTTCAACTTAATCCTTTCATCAAGTTATAGCATCCCTAACTTTCAGGCCGTTTTCCATGCTTGTAATTAATTCCATACTCGTGCCACGTGCGTGGATGTTTATTTAGTTATTTATAAAACATGTGACCTAAAATTACCAATCAGTTTGACTTCTACATGTTCCTAATCCACAGTTGCTGTGGTCAGGGTTTTCAAAAATTTACCACAGCATCTTTTGAGTAACTTTTGAGCGACCCCACTACCTTACGCCAATGTTCACGCATACTGACCAGCTGACGTTTTACCTCGGCAAGTTAAATGACACCGTTCCATGAATTTTGCATCGTATGCACCAGGTGCATCTTTATATACAGTACTGTATCTGTTGTAAATATACTGTATACTATATAGCTATATACAGTATATATTATACATTATCTATGTATTCATATTCACAGTATATATGTCGTATATATACTGCAATATATATTTGAAATGCTACAAAATGAAAAATAAATTCGAAAAACAAAAAAAGAAAACAGTTAATGAAAAATTTGGCAGTGATGGATGAGGTTAAAGAGCTGTACATGCCCAAACACAAACCGACACTCTCCCACCCCCCGTCTCACCCCCTGAGTGCAGTGGCTGAGAGTGCAGTGGTTGAGGGTACAAGTTGGGGGAGGAAGTACGGACGGATGGATGGATCGGGCGGATGGCGGCGGGTGTCAGGCTCGGGGCGGCTCGTGTGGCTGTGTGGCATCCATCAGCTTCAGAAGAGCGGTGGTGGGGGACAGAGTCTGCGGAGAAAGAGGAGTCCGCGGAGAGTCTGGGGAGAGTGGTCAGATCGAAAAACGAGCGCCCATGGAAATGCGCCGACACTTTTAGGGACACTCTCACCGATCGGCGAACGGACTCTGATGGCGCGGAGAAAAGACTCCTCTCCCCAAACGAGATGGCTCCCCACCCCGTCCTCAACGACCACAGGCCCGCCTCGCCTGCCACTCGCGACATCGTCGCCAACCGCTCATCCGTCCACCCCCTCGCCCCCGCCACCCCTCACTCGGCAACCTCCTGCTCAGCCGCGTTCGCACCCCTCCCATACCCCAGCCCCGCCTGGCAAAAAAAGGTCGTGTGTTTTGGTCCCGGATATGCATTTACAAACCTGGTCCACCGTCGAAACCCAGGTCCCCAACCTGGATTACACCAAACCCCAAACCCACATAGCATCAGGAGCCGTGCCTGAATTACAGTGCTCCCTGGGTAGGCACCCCCTCCCCCAGACCCAACCCCCACGCCCCGTCCCCCTTCCTGGGCCACCCGGCTCCCTCCCCCCCCCCCCCCCCCCTCGTCAGTAGGGCTTGCTGTCGTTCTTGTTGCGTTTCAGCTGCACCTTGAGTCGCTTCATGCCGATCTGGAAGCCGTTCATGGCCTGGATGGCAGCCTGAGCCGACACGGGGTTATCGTAGCTCACGAAACCTGGAGGAGGGCCGAGAGAAGAGAGACAAAGAGGGTGGGGTGTTCAAAAAACGACGGTCATTGATGCATACTCGAGATGCATACCCTGGCTGTTCTGAAAGCAGTACAGCAAGTGGAATAATCCCCATCTGTTTCCGTCTGGACGGGGATAGAGTGTTGATTCTAGATTTGAAGCTTAGGTTTTTTCGGTAAAGTCACGTAGGTAAAAATAAAGAATACAAATAAATAATAAAATTATAGAAATAATCATTATTATTTTATTTCTATTATTATTTCTATCATATTATTATTTATTTATTTTATTCATTTTTTATTCAACGTGACTTTACCGAAATAACCTAAGAGTATAGAGTGTTGACTCCACGCACGTGTGGGTGCTCCCAGTTCCCTCCCACTTGTATGACAATCATTCATTATTAATTAGCTGAACACGTCTTGAAAAATAAACCCAAGGCAGGACCCTTCTGAAAAAGAGTACTTAGATTCTGTGGCTTTCCTAGGTGAGTAATACATTTTATATTTCCATTCAAATCAGCTTCTGTCTCAGAGCGGCCCACATTTTAACACCATAACGTATTAGTACGATCGAGCTATTGCGACTCTAGCCTCGAGTGTCCACCAACTTAACAATGGGGGTATTTAAAATCAAAGAATATAATCATAATCATTATCACCACGATCATCATCGTCACTCTCACCACCATCGTCTTTGTGACCATCGCCATCGTCAACATTGAAATATCTTTCCACCTCTGCATATTTTTTCTCCTCTGTGATTTTCTTTCATTAAACGAAATAAAAAACGAAACAAAAAGGATTATAATAAACCGCCCATAAATTGAAGCGTGTGGACAGCCGCGCACGCTGCTTCAGAGAGATACAAACGGGCTGACAGTGGGAGAGCGAGAGAGACAGAGCGAGAGAGCGGGAGAGAAGTGAGAAATACAATCATAGAAGTGCATTAATTAAGGGTAAGCTATTCTAAATTACATTAAAATAAACAAAGTTATTTCTCTACTGGATTCCACTTTTATTACAAGAGGCCCCACTGAGATGTAACCACCTGCTGCACTCGGCACGTGGAAGAATTTACAATCAACCGACGATCCTACGTTTAATACGGGGGGGGGGGGGCGCTTTCCTTTTTACAGCTCCAAAAAAACTTACAAAATAAATCTTCACCCATAATTACGCGTAATTCCATTAACATCTGGCCGGGGCCTCTTTTCTGGATTTCGCATTCACCGCATCTGCTCGTGAGCTCGTCCTTAAGGCGTCGAATCAAACGGTTGACGGGGCCCACTTGTCGTTTTTCCTAGCGGGATGTCCCGTGACCCCCGTGGCTGCATCGCGGCGAGGCGCCTGCCCCGCGCCCCCTTCGAGCAGAGAGCGCTCGGCCACGCAGCGCGACGGCGGTGTTTAACGAGAAACATTTCTACGACCGAGAGCAATTAATTTCGTCCGTGAAGCCCGTGACATTAATTTTGTCGGGGAGGGCCCCTCCGAGCGTAATGATCATCATAAAGCACGCATTTATCGCCCTGCCAGTCCTGAGCTCCGGGTCTCTCAGGCATGGACTTGTGAACATTGCCCCTTTTTATTATTATTATTATCGTGAACTTTCAGTCTGTCGTAAGTTTGTGAAATTCCTCGCATTGGCGTCTTAGCTGCTTCCTCGGCAGTGGCTGAAAGGTAAAGCGTGGAATGGAATCTGGATTCTAGGACGTCACAGTCCGCCCACGGGGAGCGGTAGTGACGAATATCTGAACAGGTCCTGGGCCTCCCCTAGGTCGGCACAGCCTCAAACAAGGACATGGTACGAAGTGTAAACGTTGCCACTGGGGAGACAAAGGCGGCCGGGCGTGGTGCTGGCAACCCACCCCCTCTCGTCTGCCATACCAGCCCTTCATAGGTGCTGCTCACAAACAGCACTTGCCCCAAGAATTATGTTAAGGCTATACGGGGTATCTTTCTCTTTGTTCACGACTCATATGTACAAGGTGTATTCATGGCGTCTTTCATCTTAGAAATTCTCCCGAGGCGTCTTACAAAAGCCAATACCACACTCAAATGTTGGCAGCATAGCACTGAGCCATTTTCCACACGATCTTCTCATAAGCCTTACAACATTTATATGAATATTACATCGCTGTACCACATTCAAATAAATATACCAAGCAGATTAATGTAATATTACAATCTTTCACAGGTATCAATTTTCCAACACATCTTCTCATAAGCCGTGCAATAAGCCAAGATTTTTTTTGTCTCGATCTTACCATCCCGTTTATGTTATTAAAATAATATATATCCAGCTCATTTGTATACTCTTGTCCACCCCATTGACCTGAACATAACACGGCCATATAATTTGCATTCATCACACACAAAATTCATTCCCACGCAGCAAAATCAGTTGCATTGTCGTTCTGAATCGCTGCTGTGCAGAGCACAAACTCAAAGGCCCACAACGTCACGTGGCCAGCAACAAACGGCACCATCGACGGATGTCACAGATAGGAGTTTTAATGTACCGTGAGCACGCAAATTGACTGTTTCACCCAGCTAAACCGGCGCACCGCTACGTGTGCGGCATGAACCTTCCGCGGCAGCACGCGGCGTGTTCTATTGAACGGGGAGCGATCGACGCCCGACCTTTCCGAGCGCGATTTGGGCCCTTTGACCTCTGGCAGGCGTGGCGGCCGGGCGTGCCGTGTCGAGCTCTCACCGAAGCACTTGCTGAGGTTTGTCTGCTTGTCCACGAACACTTTGGCCGAGATCACGTTCCCAAACGGCATGAAGGTCTGCATGAGGTCCTGGTCCCCGAACTCTTGCGGCAGGTGGTATATGAACAGATTGGCTCCCTCCGGTCCTGGGAGATAATGGACACACGGGCACACAAGGTGAAGATTCCCCATTTCGCCTGAGACAGACTGTTGGGGCAAGTGCTGTTAGCGAGCACCTACGAAGGCCAGCACGGCACACTAAGGGGGTGGGTGGCCAACACCACGCCTGGCTGCCTCAGTCTCCCCAGTGGCGATGTTTACTACACACCGCACCAGGTACTCACTTGAGGCTGAGCCGACCTAGGTGAGAGCCCAGCACCTATTTAAATAAATCGTCACTGGTGTTGGCCGTGAGCGGGAATCGAACTCGGGTCGCCAGGTTCGTAGCGCAGCGTAGCGCTAACCGCAACCCTACGACTCCCCACCGCTTCTTGCACGGCAAACTTCAGAGCGAGAGCGGGGTAGGCGTGCACTGTTCGATCTTCCTGCTACTCAAGTCGCCCGCCACTCAAGTCGCCCGCGTTATGCGTCTGTACGTGCGTCTACGCTTCTCTGCACCGCTCACCGCACACCACCCACCATCCCATCTCATTATTTGTATTCATTACATAACTCGCAGGCCCTTAATTTCGCACCTGGTAGACTGGAGTAGGTAGGCCAAGAGGTGGCTTGTGGCTCGTAGTAGCCACAGCGAGAGGTCCACTGGTTGTGGTGCGCCAGCTCGAGAAATATTTTCTCGACCTGAAGCCGTAAGAAAGCGCTCACGTGCGCACACCCGCGGCGTCGCGGTTGAATCACGCCGGGTGTTACTCCCGAACGACGCAGCCGTTTAATCAATGGACATGAAATCCATATTTTAGTCGCAAACCGCGGGGACCAGACAACTGGTGATGGTCAGGCACGAGTGACAGATTGACGCTCTGTTGTTATGACGACGAGGAGGACAAAAAGGTTGCGTAACCCAATGAGCTAAAAGAAAAGTGTGGGAGGCACCCAAGGCAGAATGCCCCTCATCATAGTCAGAGAGTCTTCCTGTTCAAATGAGTCGTGGGGTCACGGCGTTGGTTTTGGCTAGCCATGCAAAGAGCGGAAAGTCGCCGAACACAGCGCGGATAGATGTTCCTCAAGAAACTCACTGAATCCATAAAAAAAACCACGAGACAATTTGCACAGTAAGCTGACGGGGGATCTTTAACACGCGCCTGGGAATTGCTCCCAGCTCCTACATAGTACTGGCTGTAGTGAGGGTCACTGTTTGTTGCCAGTCGCTTTGAATAAATGTTGCCACGAGATAAACGGTCACTCGATCTGGAAACAACATCGCGACGTCACCAACACCGGCTGCGGTCACCTCTGCTGGCTGTCCCTAACCCAGTGGCGGAAATTCCACATTCCCATGGCTGATAATAAATACCTTCTTTCTGGCTGCCGGCCGCACCCTGTTGTTGCTGCTGCTGCTGCTGTTGTTGTTGCTGCTGCTGCTGCTGTTGCTGCTGCTGTATGAGGCTCTGCGCGTACAGGTTGGGGAGCGAGGCGGCTGCGTACTGCTGGATGCCCGAGTAGGCCTGAGCCAGGGCATCCACGCCGCTGCCCGAGCCATTGGCCAGGCCCCCGACGCCAAGGCTTCCATTCAGCGCCGCAATGCCTGCTGGGAAATTTTTGGTGCATTTTAAAAAAGAACACATAGTAAGGCTTTCGCGATCAATATCATCCATAATATTGGTTTGTTTGGGGGGGGGGGGTTAGATCGTGTTAGATCGCGTGAATATAAATATGTCGTTAAACCCGTCACCACCCGACCCATCTCTAAACCTTGATAAACAGCCTGCCTCGGCAGATTTACCCCTCTTTTTTCACCTGAAGACGATTGCTTGTGTTGCGATCGAAACGTCGTGATATTGTTATTATTTTTTCTATCTACGTGGCTTTACCGAAAGACCCAAAGAATATGAATTTTGTTGATATTACTTTGGAGGTAACATGAAAGATTTTAGTTTGTTTGTGTATTCTGTTTTTTCATGAAGGAACAATTGTTTATTTCAATACATATACGTGAGGCAAGAGGGCTTTCTTTACATATCTGTCCCATAAAATAAAGTATTTCTCGCTCATCTCATCAGCCACATGGCCTTGTAGGAGTGCATAATTTCAGCAGCATTGGTTCATTTGTTCACAGCTCAAAATTGCAGGCGGGGCCCCGTAAGAAAGTAGAAACAATTGATTGAATTAACAGAAGTGGGACTTGCTGTTGTTGTTCACGTTATTGTTTAATCATGATGAGCGTAGACAACGCTGCCACGATGGTGTTAGGCTCCCACGCTCGTCCTCTACAGCTCTCTGGAGAGCTGTAGAATGCCACTTTTATTAACCGCTGCTGCTGATTTTTGTTCGTGTGTTGCTTTAATTTCATCCTGCAATGTGTATCCCCCCCCCCCTCCACCCCACATCGGACATTAAGCAGCTACGATTGGGGATTGTGTGTGTCTGGCGGAGACGATGATCTGAACCCGTCCTGGGCCTCCCCTAGGCCGACTCAGCCTCAAACGAGTACCCAGTGCGGTGTGTAAGCATCACACACTAGCATGAAGGTAAAGGTGGCCCGGCGTGGTGTTGGCCACACCACCCCCTCGCGTGCCATACTGGCCTTCATAGGTGCTCGCTAGTGGCACTTGCCCCAACACTCGGTTAAGGTTATATTGGGTGTGGGGAGTCTTTGTCTTTGGGGGGGAGGAGGACAGGTGGATGCGTGGGTGTGAGCGACGGCGCGTGGGCCTACCGGTGAGCGGGCTGATGGCCGAGGCCCCAGCGAGGCTGTGCAGGGCCCCCAGGGAGGCCAGGGTACTGGCCCCAGCGCCGCCCGCTCCTCCGCCGTGGCCGCCTAAACAGAAACCGGAACGTACGGACCTCAAGCTCAACGCCGTTCCCTTCTCTCGGCCACTTTTCCCGGCTGCGCGACTGAGCCGTGCCGGGGCCGTGCCAAGCTCAACCCGGCGTGGCTCGGGGTGTCGAGCCGAGCCCCTGACATCGCATTCATCGTCGTGACGAGCGAGCGGGTGGTAACGCATGTTGATGATGCGAGGGTGGGGGCAGGGAGGGTACAGCCGTGTCCGACAAAAATTATTCGGTGATGCTGCTGCTGCATTGGAAAGTCGTGCGCGAGCATGGATTTTAATACTAATAACAAAAATTAAACAACACTATTGGTGAGCCCTCAAAAGGAAAAATATATAAGAGGTGACGTTTTGGGAAATGGGCCCTTCTGTACAAAAGAAGGTGTAATGCCAGAAACGTTGCCTATTCTATATTTTCCTTTCAGCGTTGACAAATGTGTTGAGGTTTTTTTTTGTGTGTGTGTGGCCTAACAGTAATGTGACACACAGTGAACGAGTTGGGATCTCGTGCAGATGACGCAGTGACGTCAAGTCGTCCAGCGAAGCGACTAACAACGCCACGCTCAGTGAACACGCGATCATCCCTGCCCCTGGCCCCGCTGCGACCCAGGCCAGACTGAGATGTTTCGCAAGGCTGGCGGTACCGCTGTTTGGTCTCGGGCTCGGCACGGCAAACGGGCAGTGGAAAACCGCACCGTACCGCGTGGGCAGCCATGCTGGCTCGCACGTGCCAAGCGGGAAAAGCGTTACAACTTTCTCGCAGAACTCGAAGGGGAAGCAACATCGATTGAGTCTGGTTATTACTTGGATGGGTGAGATTGCCTAGGCATACCGGGAATTGTAGGCTTGGGCAGTGATGTGGCGAGGAGATGACAGTACAGCAATGGATTCTTGAATGTATCTGTGTGGAGTTATGAGTGTTATTCACTTGTACGCCTGGGATGTTTCCGAGGTATCCTGCTGGTCTCTTCTCACATGGCATGTGCTCATTGTTATGGGATTTGCCAAACACCCCCCCCCCCCCTGCCCACCTCCTGAAAAGGAGTGTTGAGACTCAGTGAGGCTTTTCCTGGGTGAAAGGAAAATTTATGCCAATTATACTTTTATTAATTTTATTATTAATTTTAATGTTTTACCTACGTGACTTTACCGAAAAAAACCTAAGAATATGAATCCTTGCAGTCACGAAAGCTTCAAATCTAGAATTATAAAACACATTTTTAAATTTGGTCGAAATCATCGCGCTTCGCTCGGCCTGCACCAGCGGAGGTAATTCCACATTCCCACGGTCGAGACATCGGCAGTCCATCCACAGGATGACCACTGTTGACGTTCTACTAAGCGGTACTCAATTTATCCACCTCCCCCCGCACCCCACCACACCACGATGGGTTTGAACTCACAACCCTGTGGCTCCCAAGTCAGGCTTACTAACCACTGCGCCACTCAGCCGAGTAAATATCACGGCGGGCTTAAAGTCACTCCTCGTATTAATTACTATGCTGAAATTGAGCCAAATGAATTTTAACAAAGGGAGGGGGGAAAAAACTCAACAAATAGAAATGAAATAAAATTAAATCTGTTTAAACAAAGATGGATGGAGGAGGAGGCGGGGGGGGGGGGAATAAATGGGTGCATATAACCAAAAGAATAATGGAATTGAGGTAATCGTGAGGAAGAGTTGTTGTTGTGTTGTTGTTTGTTGTTGTTGTTTGTGGGCTTTTTTTGTCTAAAAAGAAAAAAATGCCAAATGAGAAACAGAGCCCCCCCCCCCCCCCCCCGTCTCTCTCCCTCCCGTGTGTGCATGCAAATGAGTCACAGCCGCTCTGATTGCTGTCAATCATTGATTAGAATGCAAATGACGCTGGGCTCGTGTGGGCCATGCGCAACTGCCCGAGCAAGCATCTCCACGCGTGCGTTGTGTGTGTACGTGTGTGTTGTGGAGTGTGTGTGTGTCAACCTGTGTGTGTGTGTGGGGAGCGGTAGTGTAGCGGTTAGCGCTACGCTGCGCTACGAACCTGGTGACCCGGGTTCGATTTCCGCTCACGGCCAAAATCAGTGACGATGATCTAAACCGGTCCTGGGCCTCCCCTAGGTCGACTCAGCCTCAAATGAGTACCTGGTGCGGTGTGTAAACATCGCCACTGGGGAGACAAAGGCCACCCATCCTCTTGTGTGCCATGCCGGCATTCATATGTGCATGCTAACTTGCCCCAACAGTATGTCAAAGGCTATACGGGGGATCTTTATCTTTGTGCGTACACACGTATGTAGGTGTGTGTGCGTCGGTGCCCCAACAATCTGTCGAAGGTTACACGGGGGATCTTGGTCTTTGTTCGCACAGTTACGCGAGCGTTGTGTGCATGTCTTTGTGTCTGTTGGCCATTCAGAAGAGCTCGCTAACAGCACTTGCCCCAACAGTCTGTGAAGGCTACACGGGCTTGGCACTGCCTGTGCCTGTGTCTGCGCGTGCGTGCGTGTCGCGCTCTCGTCTCACCCGTGGACGAGAGGGCCGAGAGTCCTCCCGTGGGGCTGCTGAGGGCGTTGGCCCCTCCACCGACCCCGCCGGCTCCCTGGCTCACGGCGGCCGCCGCCGCCAGCGTGGCCAGGCCCTGCAGCTGCACCGCGTTCAATCCTGCGCGTGCGGACGTGCGTGTGGGCACGTGTGCAGGTGTGTATGGAGATGTGCGTGTGGGTATGTGTGTGTCACGCGTATGCAGGGAGCGGAGCGAGTGGGGCACGGTGTGGGTTGGTGTCGGGGGAGGGGGTGGGGTTCACAGTGTAGAGCAGGGTATTATCAGAACCACGCCGAAAAAATATCTCAAGCACCAGCGTCGGCTTATTGGCCAAATATCTCATTTATATGATTCACTCCGAGCTTAATGTTAATTCCCTATTCTCTTTGCCGTGAAAATAATTCCATAACCCCCCCCCCTCCCCGCCACTTCCCTTCCGTTTCGACGAGAGGGATAAAGAATTGAGAAGGATTATACGCGTCGATCCACGGACGTGTTCGGTTACGAGTCCCACTGGGGGGCTGGGGACGTCGCAAGCCGTGCAGGGCGGTGCGGTGTGGTTGGCATCGACGTGGCCCAAGTAGCTCACCGGCGATCTGCTGCAGGCCGGCCAGGGTGCTAGGGCTGCCGGCCGCCACGGCTTGCTGCAGGAGCTGCAAATACAGCTGCACGTGTTACACCACGACACGCGCGCACACACACGCACGCACACACGCGCACGCACAAAGCACAAACACGTACGACAGGTACGCACGTGGGGACGGGCCGGGGAATGGGGAGGGACGGGAACGTGGACAAGGTTAGGGCTGGGGGGGAATGGTCATTGCGCACGTACCACACACGCGCTCACACCCCGTGTGCGTCCCCTGTCCAGTCCCCACACACTCTCCACCAAAACCAAAACCCGGGTGACTTTTGGGCTAGGATGTTGCGGGAGTCAGCGCAGCGGCGGTTGGGCAAACCCGTCTCCTTACTGAAGGCCGAGAAAGACATTTAAAATGAAACACCTTTGGCAGGGGGCCGCATGTTAACACCACGCACATTAGTTATTTTTGTTATCCAAATAGTCATGTACTATAATTCTTAGAATTGCGATTATAAATGAGCAAATGTAGCGATGAGAAGGGAACTGCCATAATTTGGACGCACATGTCGTAGGCTGGACAACAACAACAGGAACAGTCAAAGCGTGTTGTTCGGATTCATGGAAGGAACCGGAAAGAGAGGAAGACCTAACGGAGACGACATCGCAATAGATTGGTTCCAGCAGGGTGTGGAACTACTTGAGCACCTTGGAAAGTGGTAACAAATGACGAAATGTGCAGTGGACACTTACGGACCATCTACCCCTGGAGCGTGGTGATGATGAAATGTAATAAAATAACGAGCGCGCCCATCGAGCTGAAAGAGGCCCTGGCAGAAGTGACCGAGCGTGGCGCTTTCACAGCCGGGATGAAGACATTCCCCTCCAGTAGCAGATTGACGCTGCCAAGATGGTTGTAATGACAGATGAACATCGCTTCGTAGTGGTCGGCCTCATGTAGCCGTGGGCTGCATGCAACGCCGTTTCAAGTTGTATCTGACCCCGTGGGCCTGAACCTCCTCACTCCTGTACTCGGGGCATCGTGCCTGCATCAACATTCGCAGCGTAAATCGAGAAGTCACTGAACCTCAGGGTTGCCACCTCTGAGGTTTCACAACACCAGGACATATCACAGGGAAGAAGAATATCTCGCGAATACGAGAAGTAGAGGGGAAAACCTGCAAGTTCCAAATCGAAAAATAAAAGTTCCACGAAGACTTACAGACTAGAGAACGATTCTGGGTCGCCACCTGGACAGGTGGCAACCCCCGAGGGAGAGAGGTCATTGCTGGTCTGTCATGCCAACGAGTGCGCGCTGTTGTGGTGGCCTGTCAGCGGCACGCTAGGAACCGCTCCCCGCTTGCACGGCGCGCTCCCGTCGCTACTACCCACTGCTACGGCCTTCCAGCTGAGGAATAATCTGATGCAAAACGTGGCCCGCAATTGATCTCGGAATCCGCGCTCCCGTCCCGAGCGCGCGTCGGCGGAGCTCGCGTGACTCCGGGCGGAAGGGCTCAATCTTTTGAGAGGACGTTTATCCTGACACGTGTACACGCGTGGGGGTGTTGGCGGGGAGGTGGGGGGAGCGGTGATGTGTGGGGGGGGCTGCAAGAAATGAAGGGGCCCACACAGCCACGAGGGGCAGCTCGACACATCTCTAATCCGACGGGCGCCCCCCCCCCCCCCCCACAAAAAGACCGTCGCTATCAGCGGCGCCTCTTATTCTCCCCTGAAGAGTGAGGACGCAGATAGGAGATGGAGGGAGCGATACTGCTGTTGTCTTTTGATGTTGAACAGAGCCCCAAGCCCCCCCCCCTTTCCCCGGAGCCGTGGCGAGCGCCACGTGGATCTAAAGCTGACGGCCCCCCCCCCCTCCCCCCGATGTAACTCCAGTTGTCATCATCGTCAGACACGGTCATTGCACTCCCGGATGAAGGCCTGACTCGCAAGCTGCTGCTGTTGCCATCACTCAGGTTCCTGTGGTGCAGCAGAATCCACGGCTCAAGTGCACGTGCTGTTTTCGCATGATTTTTTCTGAAAACTGCTATCTCGGTCACGTCTAATGACGAGTGCTAATTTGTAACTCTCAGAGAGCAGCAGATTAACCCGTGTAAGAGAACGGCGCACGGAAGGAGACATTGCAGAACCACTTCTTAGGTGCCTTCAAGCGACCTCTGATCCACCGCACACTGCAGCTGCACTTTCCCGCATGCGTTGCGGATAAAAATTTAAACATTCTCAGAGGTGAGATTTTGGCCACACTAAAAGAAAAGCTGAATTTTTATGGGATGGTGAAATGCTTTATGCGTGCAATAATTTGGTGACTGGACCGAGGCCATAAACTCACGACTCCCGGGAACGCAGTTTATTCTGCATTGGCCCAAACCCAGACTTGATCTCAGCAGGGCCCTGGCTCAGAGTGATCTGACCCCCTGTACCATCCGCCAACCTGAACCCAATGCAATTTCATTCGATTCAGATTTTCTTTGTTGTCGCCAAATGATGATGTCACTGCCAAGGCATGGTCCTTTGGCAAACACAAACACGTAGATTTAAAGCTTTCGTGACTGCAGGGATTCATCTTCTTGGTTCTTTCGGTAAAGTCAGGTAGAAGGGAAATAATAAAATAATAAAACTAAAACAATCAAATAATTCTCACGACGTTTCGGCCACAACGCAAGCAGCCGTCCTCAGGTGAAGAACAGGTCTGTCGGAAAGACAGTGTCTGAATGAGCCGTCCTCACCTGAGGACGGCTGCTTGCGTTGTGGCCGAAACGTCGTGAGAATTATTTTATTATGTTTTATTTTTATTATTTTATTATTTCCCTTCTACGTGACTTTACCGAAAGAACCAAGAAGACAAACACGTAGGTTGTTTTTTCTCTCCACACAAACACATGTAGTGAAGTTTTGACAGGTTGTTTTTTTTTTTATTTCCCGTTGTCATTTAGTTGTGGCTAATTTTCGAATATCTAATTTAGGTTTACAGGCAGGGAACATGATGATTATTTGTTGATGATTTTGACCCCGCCTGTGGATACACGCTGTTACAGAGCCGCAGTCAAAATAAGCAGATAAATCAAAGGAGACATGGACAAATAATGAGACGAATATAAATTATATAACACACGGGGAATTAAATAGCCACATTCCACTCAAATGAAATTCACACGTACACCTCACACGTATATATGTGAGGTGTGCGTGTGTATGTATGCCTGCTGCATGGTCCAAATATACCAGATTTCAAAAATTACCCACAGTGTTCTCAATTGGACAAACGCATTGCCCCAGACTGCAAAACTGAGCAGGACCCTCTTGAGAAGGAGTGTTGAGACTCAGCGAGGCTTTATTCGGCAAATAAATGATAAATAAATATGGAACACGTGCCTACATACACCCAGTGGTGGTGCCAGTCTATTTGGGGCCCGAAACCGATAGTATCAGTATCAGGTGTGTCACCCGACTACAAAAAAACACATACTGCCTGGACAAGCTAGATCGATGAATTACATCACAGTTGCGTGCGGAAATAATTAAACGAAGAGACTACTTCCCATCAGCATTATTTGAAGAGTGTTATTAGAACGGCGAGGTATTTTTCCTCAAGTTCACGGCAATTGGGATATGACTTCAAGCTCGGAACAGTGTTTGGTCCGCTCCTGTTCCCTGAGCTATTTGGGGCCCTAAGCTTTGGCTCGCGTTGCTTACGGCTCGCCTCCACCGCTGTGGACAGCGCACGACTCGAGGCTTTCGGGAGAGATTTTTGTTTCCCCCCCCCCATTCCCCGAGCTAACAACGCGCCGGGCATTCAATCACAGAGCAATTGAGTTCCCAGAGAAATGTATAATTCCTGACAGCGCCCATGGGTGTGTGAACAAAGCCCACGCAAATCTCCCCGCCGCTCTAACATCGCCGGCTGCCTGACAGGGGAGGAGATAAGTCTGGGTCGAGATGCCCTTTTACCTCCGGCTGAGAGGTTAGTGACAGGGTTATAACCAATCTCTCACCGGTTCCATCGATTTACTCTCCACCGGAATTTTTTTTTGTTATCGCCACTTTGTCATGCAACCTCTCCTCCCCCCCCCCCCCCCACACACAAAAAAATCTAATAAATACGCAAGGTGAAAAAGAGCCGAATCAACAACAACAACAACCTACATATCAAACACGAGGTGCAGCTCTCCGGAGTGGACGGCGAATGCAGAAAGACGTCAAATAAAAATGAGTTAACGAGTTGCCGAACGCGCGCGGGGGCAACGCGCCGTTTCTGTGTTTCGTGATGAAGTGTCGACAAACCCCCTCACCCCCCCCCCCCCCCCCATAACGGACGGTGCCACGGCAGGGCTTGCCGTTCTTTCGCACGATGCGTAAGAAGTTCATCGTACGCACGCGGGCACGACGCGCGGCGTGTTCCACCGGGATTCCGACATCGTCTCGTCGCGACGAGGATGAGGCACGGCACCGTTGATTGATCACGGCGGCTGATGGAGAATGAAGGCTGGAATTTATGGCGATCGAGGATGTTGTTGTTGTTGTTTGTTTTCACGGTGCGTGCCCAGGAAGGCGACCGTGGATGACGCGGGTTGACCGATCACCTACTTTTATTTCTAGAGTTAGCGATCGATACGTTTGTTTCCGACACATCGATAGCGGTCCTGCATGGCGATTATTACGAGGACAACAAATGTGGTTCGATGAATATCGGTAGAAAAACGGTGACAATTTCATTAAAATATTATATTGGAATTCAGCCGTCGGTCCATAAGTGTCTCTCACGAGCAATGATGGCTGACCAACTGCTCCATGATAAAAACAAATCCAGCTCTAGGTCAGATCGTGCACTTACCAATAAAAACTGACATTTTGTATATGTAATTTGTTTGATTCTATAGTCATTTGCGGGATGACGTATCAACACATTTCAACAAAAAAATACACAATGGTTACGAAATAGTCGCGATATTTGACAATTAATCAACAGTGGGGTGTCATTATTAGCGCAGTGAATGGCGAAGAAGATGTTTGCGGAAGCAAGCCCAGTGAAGAGCCGTGTCTTGCGATGCAATCGCAACGATCGTTCTGCCGCACAACGCTCCTTTCCGATTTGCTGGGTGATCGCTGGCAGCATTGGCCTGACTGCCGGGAGGATAGCTGTGAGTGTTCAGGCCGGCGAGATGTTAACTCCCTCGCCTGGTATGCAGGAGGTCGTGGGTTCGATCCCGACCCTGACGCCTGCTAGATAATCCGAGTTTTCATGTTCTCCCTGTAGTCACCTGGATTTTTCTAAGGGTCCTCCTGTTTGCCCCTCCACATTTAGAATCAGCATGCGTTTATTTAGAGTATTTAGCTGCTATAAACTTTCACACGATGATAAGCCACTTCGTTGAGTTATCACTTTTTGCCAGGTCCCTTCTGAAAAAGAGCTATACAGCTCAGTTGTCCTGACCTGGTAAGATAAAAATAGTTTAGTTTAGTATGTATGAACTTATATTCTTGGTTCTTTCGGTAAAGTCACGTAGAAGGGAAATAAAAAAATAAAAAATATATGAAACAATAAAAAATTATCACGACGTTTCGACTGCAACACAAGCAAACATCATCAGATGTGAAATTCACAGCAAGAAAATTTGAATTATTTTTTTATTGTTTTATATTTTTATTATTTTATTGTTTTTCCCTTCTACGTGACTTTACCGAAAGAACCAAGAATATGAATCCCTGCAGTCACGAAAGCTTTAAATAAAAATGTATGAACTTCTTTCGCGCCGTACGTAGCCAGCTGTGCTAATCAGTGGTACCTGCCAATGATCTCCGTGTTCTTTTTATCATTTAAAACCCTCGTCTGTTGCATGACCTCAGCCAGCGAGCCTTCATCCACTTCACTTCACCTCAAAGTGCAGCTATAATAATATTATTATTTATTTATAACAAGGTGGGGAGCCCATTTGGATGAAAAGTTTTAAGTGAGAAGGGACATCTGGCTCTAACGAGCACAGGCAAAACAATTAATAACGCGAGCGCATTAGTTTTATTTTAAATAGCAAAGCAAATTAAATAAAAACGTAACGTAATAAAGCGCGAGAGATCAAACTCAACGGTCACATCTAAAACAGGATTGAATTAAAAGCGAGAAAACGAATGAATTAAGCGAATTCAATAAGAAATGCGATTTAAGTGTTCACCGCTAAATTTTGATTTAAAGCTTTCGTGACTGCAGGGATTCTTATTCTTGGTTCTTTCGGTAAAGTCACGTAGAAGGGAAATAATAAAATAATATAAATATAAAACACTATGTTATAGCAGCCGAAACATAAAACAATATGTTTATATTATTTTATTATTTCCCTTCTACGTGACTTTACCGAAAGAACCAAGAATATGTTCACCTCTAGTTCATGAAAATCGGTCAAGTGCACTCGCACGCCTTCGCAAACCTCCGAATTTAACAACCCAATCACTTGTTGACAGCTGATGTGCTTGGCACCTAGCCTGGCACAGGTGCCGACCAACATCAGCTTTCAACAAGTTATTCAGATTCCTTACTTGGGTGCAATCGGCACCTAGCCCGGCACAGGTTGTGGGAGCACGTCATTATTTCTGTTTGTGTTTAGTTTGTTGTCCTTTGCCCGCACCGCGGATTAGCATGGTTGGCGACATACGGTGCAAAAGAAGTTCTACATACGTACATACATATGACACTTAGCGGCTGTCACTGAATTGAGTGCACGCCATTCATGTTGTGTACGCCCCAGTGGAATAGCTACGATCTACGAATGCGATTTATTTTAAAATCCTTTATATTAAGTTCACTTGCTTGCGTGCTTGCTTGCTTGCTTACGACCGTGCAAATCTTTCGGTCGTTTCTTAATCCACTTCCCGTGATCCAATCGAGCTGACATTTTGCACACAGACTCGTTGTGCGTGACAATTAATGTTCGTGAAAATTTTTTTCCAAAATTTTACACTGTTTAGGGAAGAAAATTTTAATATGTAATTACCAATTGCATATAAAGGATTTATAGTGAAAAACTTTGTTTTTACGGGTTAATTTTTTCTAGGCAAAGCCCACTGAGCTATGCACATCTTTCTCAGAAGCGACCTGGCCACAAACGGTATCTCAACGAAGTGGCTTGTAGGCGTGGACATTTCTAGCAGCCGAAGACTCTGAACGCACGTTGATTCTAAATGTGGAAGGGAAAAAAACCAGAGGACCCGGAGTAAAATCCATGCAACCACGGGGAGAGAGACACGCAAACACTAAATATATACAACAGCAGGCGACAGGGTCGGGATTGAACCCACGACCTCCTGTATACCAGGCGAGGTAGTTAACATCTCGCCACAGTGGCACCCTATGGAGTGTACAGGCGGTGCACCTGCACCGGGACCCACAGGCTAAAGGGGTCAAGGCGGAGGGGTCAAGGCTAAGAGGTCAAGACAGAGAGGTCAAGACAGAGGGGTCAAGGCTGAGGGGTCAAGGTGGAGGGGTCAAGGCAGAGGGGTCAAGGTGGAGGGGTCAAGGCTGAGGGGTCAAGGCTAAGGGGTCAAGGCAGAGGGGTCAAGGCTGAGAGGGTCAAGGCAGAGGGGTCAAGGCGGAGGGGTCAAGGTGGAGGGGTCAAGGCAGAGGGGTCAAGGCTAAGGGGTCAAGACAGAGGGGTCAAGGCAGAGGGGTCAAGGCAGAGGGGTCAAGGCTGAGGGGTCAAGGCAGAGGGGTCAAGGCAGAGGGGTCAAGGCTGAGGGGTCAAGGCAGAGAGGTCAAGCCTGCCAGGCTATGAAATGGGGGGGAAGGAAGGCAGGGAAGGGGTGGGGGAGGGAGGGGCGAGCACTGGCAGTTGGCTGGGGACCCTGGCAGTGCCAGCGTTAGGCAACGCACGCATTTGCCGAGAGGTGCGGCAGATCGCGAGAACTCGCAAGGGGTGGCGATGTCAAGCTCTGCAGCTCTGCGGTGCCGTGTGACTGCGGTGCCGATGGACGGCGGTGTCGGGCGACCGCGGTGTCTTGTGCAATCGGTGCGCAAGACGCCTCGGAACCACATCGCGTGAAACGCGCCGTCGTCACGCGGGAGACGCGAGGAGTGTGGAGGCGGTGATGTTGCACCGAGGGAAGAGGCCCCATTTCATTCCTCGCGCCGGGGCCAATGTCAAGCGCGCTTCCCCTATCGGTGCACCCACTGTGTGTGTGCCCACGTGTGAGAGAGTGCAGCCGTGGTGGGCTAGGGTGAGATTAGGGTCAGAGGGTTGGGGTCAGGGGGCGAGCGTTGTGAGTACTCACAGCGAGGTAGTGCGGCCCGATGGTGGACAGCCCGGCCAGACCGCCCCACCCGGCTGCGGCGCCCAGCTGCTGCATGTGCGCCAGCTGCTGCTGCAGCCTCTTCTGCTCCTTGTCCTTCTGCGTATCGGCAAACTTCACCACGAGTGGGGCCGCGCAGCCCTGGGGAGGCGGGGGGAGGGGGAGTGACGTGAGACCGATTCCCCCTTTTTCCACTGCCACATCCGGGCCGAGCCAGCGCAGGGCCATCACGGTACGGGGTGGTTTTCCATTGGCATTTTGCCAAGCCGAGCCAGGAACCAAACGGACCTATTCTTCTTTTGTACAGCTGATGTAGATGCAGAGCCACAACTACAATTTCAAAGCAGATAATCACGTTAGCAGGAGCAGTAGCGGAGTGTATGGCTGTGATGTCACCCTCGTATTTGCGGATCGGGCATTGCGTCATTATACGTCGTACGGTCTGTTCTGAACGACCCCAGTCGCACGCTGGACAGTTTTTCACAAGTCCATTCGTGCATCAGGTATCCGCATCTGCAAGATGCCACGTCACCCACATGCATCCCCACTCTCTCACCACGTGTGATGTCCGTCAAGCACGCTCTGATGATAAAACACTAGGACCCATGCGTTACATAGAGGAGGGGATCCTTGCCCTTAACACGTGGCAGTTTCACGAAGCATTGATTAAAAATAACCAAACTTCGCTGATGAGACACAGTGTGTGTCGAAACCGGTCCAGGGACTCTGCGTGTATTGAACCAATTCTGCTCAAATCCCCGCAATCATAGAAGGCCGTGTGGTTGACGGGATGCGTTCAACAACATTTTTTTGCCAAATAAATATGTTACATCGAGGTGACAGATACGGGATTGTTCTAGACACGACCGTGCACAGTATAAGAATCGGGTTTTACCGTTTCTGGCAACAAAACAGTCGTATTAAGATGTTCAAACACCGAACAGAAACGTTTTGCAAGGAATGATGTCTGCATTAACCACATGCGTGGTGGGACGGAAGTGGGGAGGGGTGGTGAGGACGCACCGACGCACTCACCTCCATGGTCTGCGACTGGTGCATGCCCTTGATGGCGTTCTGTGCCATCGCACGCGCCGTGTAAGTGATGAACGCGCAGCCTGGACGGGGACGAGGTGGAGGGAGGAGGAAGATGAAAACAACAACAACAACAACGGGTAATTTCAACAAAATGAAGCGACAATAATAAAAGCATCGAGGAAATTTGTGCGACTACTGCGTGGCTTTGATTCTGCGTCGAGCTCGACTGCGACGATGACCACGATGACGACTTCGACAATAAAGAAAAAACTGACGTTCGATGATGCCGAAGATGAATTCGACGTCTTTGACGAGGCTGATGACGTCAGTGACGACGATGACGTCTGTGACGAGGCTGATGACGTCTGTGACGAGGCTGATGACATCAGTGACGACGATGATGACGTCTGTGACGACGATCATGACGTCAGTGACGATGATGACGTCTGTGACGAGGCTGATGACGACTGTGACGAGACTGATGACGTCAGTGACGACGATGATGACGTCAGTGACGACGATGATGACGTCAGTGACGATGATGACGTCTGTGACGAGGCTGATGACGACTGTGACGAGGCTAATGACGTCAGTGACGACGATGATGACGTCAGTGACGACGATGATGACGTCAGTGACGATGATGACGTCTGTGACGAGGCTGATGACGACTGTGACGAGGCTGATGACGTCAGTGACGACGATGATGACGTCAGTGACGACGATGATGACGTCAGTGACGATGATGACGTCTATGACGAGGCTGATGACGACTGTGACGAGGCTGATGACGTCTGTGACGAGGCTGATGACGTCAGTGACGATGATGACATCAGTGACGAGGCTGATGACATCTGTGACGAGGCTGATGACGTCAGTGACGACGATGATGACGTCAGTGACGACGATGATGACGTGTGACGAGGCTGATGACGTCAGTGACGATGATGATGACGTCTGTGACGAGGATGATGACGACTGTGACGACGATGATGACGACTGTGACGACGATGATGACGTCAGCCCACCTTTGCTCTGTCCGTCTGGCCCGCGCAGCACGCGGCACTCCTCCATCTGGCCGAAGGGGGAGAACATGGCGCGGATGTCGTTCTCGCTGCACTTCTTCGAGATCATGCCGATGAAGAGTTTCCGCTCCTCCACTGCGCGACAGCCGAAGGGTCGAGTTTAGTTCGTTTGACGGGGGGGGGGGGGGGACCCAGATGCGGGCACGGTGAAGGGAACGCCGATCGATTGCTGAGTAAATCTAAACTATAAACTAGTTACTTTTATTTGACCAGATGAGGCCCACTGAGCGATGTATCTCGTTTTTCTCCAGAAGTGACCTGGCTATCACAGATGACAGCTCGACGAAGCAGCGTATCGACATGTGGACATTCACAGCAGCCAAATATTCTAAATGCGTGACACGTTCATTCAAAATGTGGAGGGGAAAAAAACGGAGGACACGGAGAAAAATCCATGAGACCGCGGGGAGAGAGACACGCAAATTCCAAATATACAGCAGCAGGCGTCAGGGTCGTTGTGGTAGTTAACATATCAGACCTGCCTGATGTGGGTGCCCATATCTGCTATATGAGAGCTACTCAGGCCAACGCGATACTCGAAGCGTCTTTGGTTGAGGGTGTTCAACCTAACAAAGACTCTAACGGCGACGACAACCATCACCTCGTTGCACTCGAGACCCCGGTTGAGTCACGGGCGGATGATACCCGGATTCCAACCCAGGATCACAGCAATTGCCTGCTCAGTGATCTGACAACTTGAGTCAACCGGCCGCTTCAACTCCCATTGCTTCAAATGACAAGCCATGGACACATACACATCTTCACGCGACAAACCAGTTTGGATTTAACTGCAGCTGCAACTCAAGACTGGCCAGTGACAAAAGAGTTAATGTCACCAGGTTTTGACCCTAACCCACGTTGACACAGATTACCTTCCAATTAGCACAGCTTTTGGTTGCACCGAAAACACTTTAAAGCATGTATTTTGCTTGAAATCACGAGCAAAGTGAAATGTTCTCTAAAGGTAATGTATGAAATTGGCAGAGGTCTAAAACAAATAAAGTCTGAATTTCAATTCTGCACGTCTCTGTGGAATCACCGTGGCTGTTTTTATAAAATTATAAATTAATCATTCCTAACAAGATTGTTAAAGCCTCTAGGCGAATGGTCATTTAACCATGTCACAAAGTTTACTTTATTGACACAAGACGATGATGCGAACGTATAATTGACTATATTTAATCTTGCTGAAGCGTCTTTTTGTCGGTAAGTCTCTTCAGCTCCTGTGCGCACAGGGAAAATACAGCACACGAGCGAATGTAGTTTCACTGAAACTAGAACGGCGGCGGAGAGGCGAAAGGGTCGATAGAAACGTCGGCTGGTCGGTCAATCTTCGAAGTTTGAGGAATTAATGAATATTCTCACGGGAACGCGTGCAGTTAACCAACCATGAAGAATACCACAAAGCCATCTGTGCCCTGCCCCGCCCGAAGGTGACACATTTAAGCTCCTCGATGGAATAACTTTCCTTCTTCATTAAGGACTTGATTTCAATTGCAGCTGGCTCCTCCTATCCTGGGACGGGTATCACTGATTGATTATAATTGTTGTTGTTGTTGTTGTTGTTTACTGTCGGTGGGCTGCTGCCAAGTCCTCGGGTATTGTGAGACGCAGACGTTGGGACGAACCACACACACCGCTGCGATTCGGAAATGACGAATCGTTTTTGGTTTTTGTTGTTGTGTTGTTGTTGTTGTGTTGTTGTTGTGTTGTTGTTGTGTTGTTGTTGTTGTGTGCGTGGTGCAAGCGGCATCCGGCAACTTCGCGTGCGGTGCGAAAGAAGTCCGAACGAACTCTTTGGTTCTTTCGGTAAAGTCACGTAGTTAGAAATAAAATAAATCACGACGTTTCGATTGCAACACAAGCAATCATCATCAGGTGGGAAAACCGTGCCTGCCTTCATAGGCGCTGCTCACAAACAGCGCTTGCCCCAATACTCTGTTAAGGCTCCACGGGGTGGGGGGGGGGGTCTTTGTCTTCGTGTTGAGACGGGAAACCTCCCGCAGCCTCAACTCCCGTGCAGTGGCATGGATTCGACTACAGGGGGCCTCGTGGTGCCGCCTTTGCTGATCGCGAAAGCCGATGGGGTGTGGGACAACCGAGGCGCATTAAAACACGCGGTGTTCCAACGCCGCCGCCGCTGCTGCTGCCGCTGCTGCTTCTTCGTCCGCGATTCTCACGGAGATGAAAACGAGTTGCGGTTGACAGGCGGGTGTTTGTAGAGACAAGGAGGCGGCTGTACAAGTGTAATAGTTTATAGTTTATCGATGGCATCTCATTACGAGTGGGCCGTCTCGATGTGGGACACTTCACGTACAGTTTTTTCCTCGATTTTTTTGTTGCGTGTAGCCACTTTAAGATGTTTCTTTTTCATGTTTTTGTTTTGTTGCGGTTGCGCCCGAGTCAAGCGCCGCATGGCTCACATGGTTATCCCTAATACATGAAACTGAACTGCACGTGCGGACAGCTGTTGGACGTCAAACAAGACAGAGGACACGTCAGCGAGCACGGAGGCTTGCCGTAGTGACCGAGCAACGCATGACAGTTAAACATACAATTAAAGTGTGGGTGAAGTTGGCTAAACTATTAAAACCGTAGTGGCCAATCCAAATAGGAATGCAGCAGCTGTTAGCACCAGCAACACATATGGTCGCGAAAATCCTCGCCGAGTCCAGAGGCTCATTTTCACGAGGGTCCTGCTTTGTATGTACGCACTGCATGTTGAACTTCTTTCGCGCCGTACGTAGCCAACCGTGCTAATTTGTGGAGCAGTAGCGCCGAGGTTAGCACACTGCGCTATGCTTCGGTTCCCAGCCACGGCATTGGGTTACCTTCATCCAGCAGTGGATTGAAAATGGTGCTGTGAATTGTAATAAATAGGTAAAGACGACAGGGAGGTCAGTAACTTTATAAAAAACCTGATATTATCTTGAGCTAAATTGTTATATTGTATTTTATATCGTGCTACCGTTCTACAAGGGTTATTATATATCATTATCACCTTTCATCACCATTCGTTCATTCATCAATTTTATTTAAACCAGGGCGAGAGCCAATTGAGACTAAACGTCGTATTTTCAAGGTAGATTGGAGTCACCGAGTAATTCCGCGCACATTAAAATGAACCAGAGTCACCGTTAATATCCATAATCATGTGTAGACCTTAGTAGGCACAGGTGGTTCTGGAATATCAAGCTTTCTAAATAGAGATATACAGTAGTAAAAAACATATTCAATGTACGTTCTCTGGTAAATGCAAATAAAATACCACCCCCGTGGATCTGTCACTGATGTTAGCCGTGAATGGGATTCGAACTCGCCTGATTCGTAATGTGCCAACCACTGCACCACTGCCCCCCCACCTCTGCAAACCTCATCATCGACATCATCAAAAACACTAACACCACCAAAAACACAACCACCAGCATCACTATCAACATCATCAATACCACCACCAAAAACACAACCACCACCATCAATATCACCACCAGCATCACCATCAACATCATCAATACCACTAGAAACACAACCACCAACACCACCACCCCCACCAACACCAAAACATCACGCGGGGGGTGGTGCGGATTTCAGGTTCGGTGTTCACCGTCCTGGAGAATGAGGTTGTGCCCCCGACTTAAATTAGGCGAGCAGCCACGGCTGCCATCACAGCCACGTGATGGCCCCCCAGGCCCCAACCCCCTCTCTCCCCCCGGCCCCCAGCCCCCTCTCTCCCCCCAGCCCCCAGCCCGCTCTCTCCCCCCAGCCCCCAGCCCCCTCTCTCCCCCCAGCCCCCAGCCCCCTCTCTCCCCCCGGCCCCCAGCCCCCTCTCTCCCCCCGGCCCCGACAGGGAAGCCGCCGGCGACAGCGACCGCCGGTGGAACGCCGAATGCCAAACAGCAGTCGCGGTGCAGGAGGAGGTGGTGGAGGTGGTGGAGGTGGTGGAGGTGGTGAAGGTGAAGGAGGTGGTGCAGGAGGAGGTGGTGGAGGTGGTGGAGGTGAAGGAGGTGGTGGAGGTGGTGGAGGTGGTGAAGGAGGTGGAGGAGGTCACCCGGGGAAGCAGGCGCATTTTTTTACAAGAATATTTCGAGATAAAAAAAGAAGATATATAATAAATAAATAAACCCTACCCCCCCCCTTCTCTCTCTACCGTGGTATGTGGGGCTGCTCGGCTCAACGGGCCTTGCCCGAAATAAACCGAGCGGCTGACGATCATCGCGCGGCGTTGCGGGATTTAAGAGAAAAAAAAAACAGAGATGCTAAACAAAGACGAAATGCAACGGGCGCGCATCGATGGGGAATTGTGAGTCACCGCAGTTGAGGTCTTCATCGTGCGTTAAACAAAACGTTAAACGTAATTTCGTAAAAGTGTGTGGCCCGCTTTGTGAGAGCGCCACTGCGTTACATTCTACTTAAAACGAATGATAATACACGGTGGGAAAAGTCGCGTCATGCTTGAATATAGCAATCAGTTTCACCGCCCCATTTGTAAAATGACTGCTGGATGAAGGCCTCCTCAATCCACGTCAGTTTCTGCGCTTGTTTTGACCATACTTCACCACCCTGGGCAGCGTGGGCTTGGTGACGTTGGAAGACCGAGGAGGACCGGCTCTTATCAATCTCACGCCACTGATGTCAGCCGTGCCCGGGAATCTAACTCGGCTCGCCGGTTTCAAACGAGAGAGCGCCTCCGTTCCAATCGGCGCTTTAGCATCAAATCTAAATAAAGGGTTTTCATTCCACTCCGACCGCTTACACACAGCGGCGTAGACATTTCCATTTGCTGTGCTCGCATGGCTACGCTGAGGATTGCTGTTGTGTTAGTGGTTGTGAGTGTCATTGAAATAGAAGCTAAAATAGCATATATAGAGATAGAACGTGCAAGTCAATGGAAGTCATTGGGGTACATAGATTTTTTTTTCCAACTTTTATAAACAATGAAGCAATTGTCCCCACATTTCACGCGGTTTGACATTTCGCGTGTGTGTGTTTTTTTGGGTCTGTTTTGTTTTCTGGAGTCTTTCGCGGAAGAAAATGTCCCGTCTGCCCATCGCACCGTCCCAGGGCTCCACTCGGCTCGGGTAGAGGCACCGAAATGAAACACGACGCTGACGCCGCTACTGCCAGCGTCGTTCCCCATCGACGAGGGCGGCTGACGCTCATTTGCAAGTTTAATTATTATTGGAGCGACGTGATTAACGTAATTGAAAATATCTAAATGAGGACACGTTTAATGTAACATTTATCACGTAAATTGTAGAAATAACAATTAATTGTGGTCATTAAATATTAACGTAATATTTATTTCAAAGGTGATAGATAGATATTTTTATTTTGGGAAGGGGCATGACCAATCGGAGGAAACCATCAGGTCTTGCTTTCGTATTAATTTCGTATTTATTTCGGTATGTTAGAACGATCTACACGCATATTTTACCGAAAGAACCAAGAAGATGAATCCCTGCAGTCACGAAAGCTTTAAATCGAAACATTTGCTGGTAGTTACAAACAACCAGCATCACCTGGCAGTTGCGAGGTGGCGGAGGCTTTACGACACACATTTGATATATGCGTGATCTGTTCCTAAGCTCAGTGATGAATCGTGACACTGGTCACGAAAATGAACCTATTTGCCGTTACAATGTAAGCATTTGTAAATATACTCGTTCAGTCTGCGGTCTGAGCGAGATCCTACCTGCTCTCAAATAAAGGCGTTGCTAAGACTCAAAACTAAACAATGTTTTATTTTGTTTTTTATTTACCAGGTAAGGCCCACTGAGCTATATATATATCTTTTTGAGAAGCGAAATGGCCACAAATGATAGCTCAACGAAGTGGCTTATCACGTGTAAATTTATCACAGACAAATACTCTAAATGCATGTCTCTAAATGTGGAGGGAAAAACCAGAGGACCCGGAGAAAAATCCACTCGACCACGGGGAGAGAGACATGCACAAATATAAAGCAGCAGGCGTCAGGGTCTGAATTTAACCCACGACCTCCTGTATACCAGGCGAGGGAGTTAACATCTAATAGCCACCGTGATGATGATAAGAGAGAGAGAGAGACACACACACATACTCCAAATATACAGCAGCAGGCGTCAGGGTCGGGATGGAACCCACAACCTCCTGTATACCAGGCGAGGTAGTTAACATCTCCGAGTCACCGTGGCGCATTGAAGGCATGAAAAAACCCGCTCCTCGTCAGACCTAGCTGCCATGGACTTACAGATGTGTTCCCTTGCAGTAGCGGAAGCAATCCTCTTCGGTGACAACAACGACGACATTGTGCTCAGAACTAGCGGTGTTTTGGGGCGCGAGACAAAAGGCTTCTTCCAGGCAGAGATAAAAGCCTTGGAGCACCAATGGAGCGCATGCATCACACTTCAGTGGGAGCGTGCTAGATGGAAACAGTTTAACCAAGGTCACTCATTGCTCTCCGTGTCCACTGTAAACTTTGTGATCATCTTTCTCTCTCTCTCGCGCGCGCACACACACACACCGCTCACAGCTCTTCGCGCTAGTCCATCCTACTCTGCTAATGACGAAGCCCACATGCAGTCGTCATCATCAATCATCGTCGGCTATGATACATCCACTGCTGGATGAAGGTCTCTCCACTCCGTTAACATCTCTCGCGATCCTGCGATGTAGTAATCCACCTCAGCACCTCCCAGATGTGTGCAATTCCTCCTTGGCTGCCACTCAATCATTATTCTGTACCATCGGCCATCTGGCAACCGTGTCCTAACCCAAGCTTCTCTTAACACTTTGAATATGAGGCAGTAACACTCCCAAGAGCCGCACAGATGGATTCAACAATCGATGTCCGTACTCCCATCTCACCGGGCCACCTCACAGCTCATCCACAAACCGAGAACGCCCGGTCTTCTCAGATGATCTCCCATCCAAGTACAGCACTGAACCAGGCTCAACGCCTGCTTAGCTTCCGAGGACCAATGATGTCTGATCGTGGGCGTGTGCAGGCGAGGTGGTAGTGGTGTTACACGCACTTCCCCGAGGACCATAAACCACTGGCCACTGCAGTGCGTTCACACCAGCAGTGCATTAAGGGTGAATTATGGCTCGAGATTATTGCATCGCGCCCAACAAAAACCTTCATTGAGACCACTCGCATTAGGGGGAGGGAGGAGTGAGGAGGAATGCAGGCAGGGAGGGAGGGAGGGAGAGATGGAGGCAGGGAGGGAAGAGGAGGAGGAGGGGTGCAGGGAGGGAGGGATAGATGGAGGGAGGGAGGATGGGTGCAGGGTGGGAGAGATGGAGCCAGGGAGGGAGATATGGAGAGAGGAGAGGTGCAGGGAGGGAGGGGGGAGAGATGGAGGCAGAGAGGGAGGAGGAGGGGTGCAGGCAGGGAGGGAGAGATGGAGGCAGGGAGGGAGAGATGGAGGCAGGGAGGGAGAGATGGAGGGAGGGAGGAGTGAGGATGGATGGAGGGAGAGTTGTAAAAAAAAGAAAGGCCATAGCAAAAAAATAAAAAAACAAAGAAACCGACATGAAGAATGAAGCAAAGTGCCGAATAACCGAGCATCTTTTTTTTCTTCTGATCGAAAAAACAAGGAAACAAGGAGGGAGGGAGGGACCTGTCGATGTGTGTCGAAGAAGGGGGGGGGGGGAGTGTGGAAAATAAACGATCTGCAAGCAGGGCATTTGTTTGTGTGCCGCCCGTCGCCTGCTAATGGGAAAACTGTTCATATGTCAATTACAAGCTGATCGTTAGTAACAAAAAAAATGTCAATTTGTCTCATTGCCCCACAGGGTTAGCACAAGCCAGCCAATCTCCCTACCGTGTGTGTGTGTCTCTCTCTCTCTGTGGAGAAGGGCCGTCGCCTACAACGTCGACTTATTTGTACATTCACATATACATTGCAAGGGCCGTTGTTAATGACGGGGGTAGTGATTGGTTGCCGAATTCCGTGCGTCTTAACGACCTCTCCCATTCACTTCGCGAGGAGTCCATTAGGAGCGGAGTTCGCCGCACTAATTGTCAGCGAGGCCCCTCGAATGAGACGAGCTCCCGCTCAGCCAGGCGCTTTATTTGGATTGCACGAACGCGGGCACCAGAGAGGCATTAGGCGACAGAGATAACATTGCAATGCTATGGGTATTGCTTCAGTGTTTATATACGTGTGTGTGTGTATTGTCAACAGATTTCTATGGAAGTGAATATGGGCAACTTCAACGAATACATTTCCGCGAAAGCAATGAGGTGCTTATTTTGACGGTATCTCTACGATTTCATGAATATCTATGAAGGCGTTCGGGGGTCTCATTAATCAATGGATCTCGATGTAAACCTGTGTAGGTATATTTAATTACACAGCAATCAATGCCGGGTGCATGAGGTGCTCACGTGACAGCCACATGCACGAACCGTCCCGTGAAACCGAACGTCGGCCACTTCCACGTGTTTCTATGAATGTCACTATAATTGATATCTCTCTCAGTCTCGACGAGTACGGACAGAGATTGCTTTGCGATGCAACAGTTGTATTGGGGGGGGGGGGGTGCCACCACTCCCCAAACCATCCACGCGTTCTGCCCGTAGGCAAAAGAAAACCGCGCACAAAAACAAAGGCACGCTGCAGGTTTGCGGTGAATGGAAGCAGCGGCAGTGGCAGCAGCAGCGTCACTCACCACTTGACTTTTCGCTGTCGGCCGGCTTCATCTGAATGGGGTGGTGCATCTGCAAGAGACGGCGGTTCGGAGGGGACTCTTAATTCGACAGCGCAACAAGCGGCATTCGTTTTCACAATGGGCGACTCGGCGCGGCGCACCAATCGGTCGTTATTTATTTTCTTATCGCCGCAAACATGTTGGTGGGTCTTCCCCCTCCACCACTGCACCCACTCCTCCCACTCCACCCACCACGCGTCGGCGTTAGGTGTTGGCCGCGTGCGTGTGAATCTCAGGGCGCAGTAAACACACACACACACAAACATTTCCCCAACAAAACAAAAACAAACACGTGGATTCTTCTTCTGCTTCTCCTCCTCCTGCCCTGACGTTAATAATTTACAGGTGTTAATGAATTACGCGTCCCCTGGTCCTCGGGAAGTGAGAGATCGTTTACGGTCGTGTTGATATTTGGCAAGTGCCGATGGTTATTTCTGGTGTGGTTTATGGCGAAATAATCAGCTCTTGAATCAACTCGCGACTCTCGTATTTCGCTGTGATTCAGTGAACGACTGTGGGTTGATGAATGGCGCACGCACTCCGCACGCACTCCGCACGCACCCCACAGACACTCAAAAAACACTCCACAAACACTCCACAGACACTCCACAAACACTCCACAAACACTCCACAGACACTCCACAGACACTCCACAAACACTCCACAGACACTCCACAGACACTCCACAAACACTCCACAGACACTCCACAAACACTCCGCACGCACCACGCACGCACGCGTCGCCTGCTGCGTCTGTAACACGTGACGAGCGCGACGCAGGTGCGCGCGTGTGTGCGTGTATGGGGAGCGGTGGCACAACGGTTGGCACAAAGCCCTACGAACCCGGCGAAACGAGTTCGATTCCCGCTCACGAACAATAAAAAGTGGCGAATTCTTGAACCGGTACGGGGCCTCCCCTCGACTCAAATGAGTCGCTGGTGCGGTGTGTAGTAAACATCGCCATTCGGTGTTGGCCACCCACCCCCTCGAGTGCCGTGCCGGCCTTCATAGGTGCTCGCTAACAGCACTTACCCCAACAGTGTGCAAGGCTAGACGGAGGATCTTTGTGCGTGTTACGCGTGCGTGTGTGCGTGCGTGCGTTCGCTGCGTGAAGGTCACACGCACGTTCTCGCTCGAACACAGAGGCACTTCGCGCACTCTCAACAATAGCGTCTTGTTCACGGCGACTCCAGCACGAAGGGGAGGGGACACTGGACCGCGAGTGACCGACAACAACAATAGAATCGCTCCGTACAAAAGGTAACGCGTGCACAGACACGACGTGAACTCGCGAACACGGGCACACGTGACAACAACGGAAAAAACATCCCTGCAACACATTTGCCAATAGCAGCAAAGAATATCTAAACAGCAGGCGACGTTCCGAGCAATGGCCCTTCTTCCCAGCACACCGAGAAGCCGGAAGAGGCATTGATTGCACATTCCCCGCTGTTTCGCCTTGTTGGCTGCGGACTGTAAGAGATGCCACCCGTCCCGGATTCGCCAGCATCGTTCTCTTATTGAAGCAGCCGCTGTCCTGGGTAAATCCGGGAAGTCTTCACCAGGACCACAAGCGACGCGATGTCTCACCCGGCACTACACAACGGTTCTAAACCAGTGGCGTAAAGATCAAGTGCGCAGGCGGTGCAACTGCAATGTGGCCCGTGGGTCGGAGGGACCCAAGGATCGAGTTGTCCCCCTGTCCTGGGTTTTTCCCATGATCGTTCCTCCTGCTGTCCTGGGAAATCTCCACCGGGACATCGACAGTCCCGTGATTTATCACTTCCACGGAGCTCTCGCTTTCGTGTCTTAGAGGTGGTAACCCGATTCTTCAGGGAACCTTCCCACGATGCTCCCGTGCAGGGATGGGGGACCCTAATGCCACAGGTCACGTACGGCCCGAGGGGTCATTTCGTACGCCCCGTAACATTAAAAGTCGCGGTTTTATGTCCGTTGCACGATCATCAACCACTCGCGACAAGGCGAGGACACAGGGCTCTGTACCCTCTCGCGGTGTTCATTCCGACTTCCTGCATTTCTACTGCGGCCTCCTGGATCTCGTGCTGACGCTGCTTGACGCACTTCCAAGCGAGACGTCATCGTGCCCAATCGCTACACTTGCGCTGTCAGAATCGTCCCTCGACTGGCTCGTGTGCGAGCCGAATCAGCAGTAAGCCGACGCGTTAATGTATGTACGTTGAACTTCTTTCGCACCGTACGTAGCCAGCCGTGCTAATCGGAGGTGCGGGGGGAAGGACAACAAACTAACACACCCAAAAAAACACTTCTAAATAAATGAGTTTTTAAACTAGATTTGAAAGTGCAAAGCTTCGGTGGCTTCCTAGCATCGGAAGGAAGAGCGTTCCAGACGGCCGCAGAAGCGCATCTGAGAGCGCTGCGCGATGATGATGCGGTGACAGCCGTCTTCGTTCGATGGACAACGGCTTACATCACGTGACAATGTAATTTGTTCGTGGACGCGTGAGGCGGTGAAGGATTTTTAACAACACAAATTTACCCCGGGATCATAGCGTGGCCGAACCCAAAATATAAACAAATTATAAAACTTGGTACTGTGAGAGAGTCTCCTTCATCCCATGAAAATGTCCCAGTTGTCGTTGTACATCAGAGGTTGAAACTCTACTGACTATAAACGAGAGAGAGAGACGGCGTGGGTGGAGGGGTGAGGGAGCGAGCGAGAGGAGGAATAGGAAAGAATGGATGGCGAAATCGTCGAAAAAAACGAAATGCGTCTATCGATCCGCGCCGCGATTCCACTGAGCCGCTTCGCTCGGCACGCGCAGCGAGCGACGCCTCACCCTGTCACAAATTGCCGCCGCGTTTCAGGGACGTGACTAAATCGTTAAGTTGATCTGATGGCGCAGGATGATATCACTCGACGGAGGGGGCCCAGGTGCCTGACGCGGTCGGGGTGCTGGAGGAGGAGGAGGCGACATCCTCGCAAAACCTCCTCGGGCTCGCGCGAGCACAGAATGAACGGCACGAATACCTAACAAGAATCCCTCGCTACTCGTTGGAAGGGGGGGGGGGGGGGGCGGCGGTCCAGATGATGAACAACAACAACAAAACCCCAGAAGCTTTAAATAACAATTGTCGCACAACTTATTTGTCGTTTGTATAAATCGGATCGCGGCCCACGTCGCGTTGGCAGTCTGTAATTATGGGGAGGCGATGAAGGTTGCTCATTCCCCATCTGCTGCCTCCATCACCTGGAATGCCCCCCCCCTCCCCCAGCCATCCGTACTGCCGGCTCCCTGCTGTCCCCGTCCAAGTCCAGGCTCGAGACCTCTCTCTGCCTGTCACCGACTTGCCACCGCCCCCCCGTCTCTCTCTCTATACCACTGTATGCATGCGCCCGCTGTTGCTGTACAGTCACGAGCCACGGTGACATTTGGACGCCGCTGTATAAATCCACGCCGGGTTGTTATTGACTGCCGTGCATCACCGCGGCGAAAGCGCTTGGACCGCTCGATTCACAATCACAAAGTTACGAGTTCAAATCCCCATCGGGGACCCGACTCAAAACCCTTCACCCAACACACCCGCCCGCGTTTGATACGACGATTACCACAATCCAATTAAACGCCGATAGGGATCCTAAGCCAATGCTCGTCCTTGCCATACTAATGTCGACGTTGCAGTACGATACGGGTTTCGACGGCGTCACAGGCAGGGGACAGGGAGATGACCGCATGGATGGCGGCCGTAAGGGAGCTGCGGCAGAGCGAGCGACCTCCCACCGAGTGAAGGTCGCCCTGCAGCTACGACAGAAAGCCATCGGCGGCTGGAGCCGACGGGAGTGCGTGGCAGGGGTAGGGGAAGTGCAGTGAGATGAGAATGGGGGAGTAAGACGGGGGCAAGACCGCGAGATAACTTCAAGGTGTTGGGTGCGTCCCATCTTGAATTTCCACGAACGACGGGGAGATAAATTCCACCCACTCGTAAACGCGGGGAGATTCTATTTTGTGCGTGTACGTAAAAAATACCAACAACAGCAACAAGAACAACCGACACGTATTATGTTGACGGTGGTGGTGGTGAGTCGTGCGGCGGGGGGGGAGGGGGGAACAATGTTGCTGTGGAAGTCGGATGCACAGAGTGTGACCGTGGGAGGCCTTGACGGGAGCCGGCGAAGGGAGACGAGATAGAGTCCGCGTGCGGCGCGCCTCCCACAGAGCCGTTTGTGAGAATCCACAAAAGATTGTCAAGGATTTCGCAAGAGAGGCGCCGTGCGGTGGTGGTGGTGGCGGCAATGCAGAGACTCGACACGCAGGGCGGAGGCGGAGGGATCGGAGTGGTTTGTAGCCGGGCGTGGTGCCGGGCGACCCACGCCCTCGTGTGCCGTGCCGGCCTTCACAGGTGCTGCTCGCTAACAGCACTTGCCCCTGTTAAGGCGATAGGGGCCGGCGAAGTACATGAGAGGGTGGGTGGCCAGCACTAGCGCAGAGCCGCCTTTGCCTCCCCACTGGATACGTTTACACGTCACACGAGGTGTTCATTTGAGGCTGAATCGACCTAGCGGAGGCCCATAACCGTTTCAGATAATCGTCACTTGTGTTGACCGTGAGCAGCAATCGACTTCTGGTGGCCGGGCTCGTAACGCAGCGCGCCGCGACACTAACCGCTCCCCCCACACACACCCTTTACACACACATTCACGCGCTTACACACACGCACGCACGTACCCGCAGAAACAAAAACCGCCCCCGGCGAAGCGAACGAATGAATGAGGACGCACGGACGGTTACCGAACCATTAACGCGCCACGCCCGGCCTGCTCCCACCACCCCGGGTACGTCCGGCAGACAAACCCCAACCGTGCGGTCCCACGAGCTCGCAGGGACGCGGCAACGACGTCGCCTCGTCGTGCCCAGCGAGACGCCGCGGATCCAGACGGCGGCGATGGAGCACGACGCGCCCGTGGCGCAACTTTCGACGGGCCGCGTCCCCATGAGCCCGGGGTGGGGAACCTCGTTTCTGCCAAGGGCC